TGCCTGCTGGGGATCCATGTGAGTCTCTCGAGTGGCAAGAGATGTAGGACTGAATGCTCAGGCTGTCTTCAATACAGTGCTTTCTGTTTCTAAAACTAACAGGTGAAAATACTGTACTGCCCCTGACCAAAAACCTGTGTCAGTACAGTCTGCTGTTCAAGAATTTAAGCAACTGAGCGGAGCCAAGAGTGCCCTATTTGCACACCTGAACAGGGACCTACAAACCATATTCTAATCTGATGCCTTCAAACAAAAAAATCTTAGCAGTGCATCAGTTGAAACATTGATTAACTTTGTGAGTTTTTCTCTGGAAAAGGTACGCTTGCCCAGGTAGACCAATGGCAGATCAAGGTACTTGGGCTGTGTCAAGACTCCTCTGAACAAGCCACAGCCCTGGTAAAGGGTGGAGCTCACCAAAAACTTACTCCTCATCAGCACTATTTCTTTGAGAAGGTGACCAGTAGAATGCATTTGTATTTCTCTCTGTTCAGCCAAAAGCACTAACCCTGCAGCTAATCCTCCCAGGGGAGAATTATACCCTAATAGCAGTGTGGTAGGAGCAGCCTGATCTGGAACACACTCCTGTCACTAATGTGACAGTCAGATGGATAAGAACTGTTTCTCAGGACAAAATATCTGGGAAACAGGCTGGTGAACAGTGGCTTATGGCCCTCTGCCAGTTCACATGAGACGATAGCTTACAGACCTTGGACTTCTGGGAGAGGGAAACAGATGTTTCAATTTGCACAGACTGTATCTCTCCATTTTTTATCCACCACAGTTCTTAATGAAGCATTCACGATCCAGTGCATGGGCACAGGGCCCCCGGTGAACCCTTATCCCTTGAAACATGAATTTATATTAATGCATTACTGCCCACGTCTTCTTTTCCAGCAAATCAAAGTGGAAATGCTTCAAGCTGTAACTCTATGATCTAAAGAAGTGTTTCCCATTACCTGATGCAAGCACCTACACTTAAAATACAGACACACATGCATTGATTCTTGGGCTGTATTGCTCCTGATGCTTGCAAAAAATGATTCTGTGCATCTGTTTTTATAAACTGTTTTACTGATTTACTAAGTAATCAATATTAGCCTGAGATTAGTAGACATTTTAATTAAAATCTCACAGCCGTTTTGAAGCCAAATTCCCCACATAATAGATGCTTGCACCTACTCTCAGCATGATTCCTGAATGAAGGGAAGGAAGGAGGAGATTAAAAACCTCAAAGCAACTGCTTTATGGGCTATTTGTAGCCTGTGAATTACAGGCAAAATAAACTTTATCTAGGCAGCACAATAAGATTCTGGTAAATTCTCTTTGTTTTCTAAGCACACAGTAACAATGAACAATCATTTGGAAAAAAAAAAAAAAGTAAATTCAGTCCCACAACTGCAGTGTTGTCAAAATCAGAAGCAGAGTATCATCTCCTTGTCTGTAAGTCACGCTGGCCTGAATTTTACGTCATTTGAGGGGGATTGAAAGCTGGTATCCCCATGGCTGCTACTGTGGGTGTAAAGTTTCCACCTCCACAGACACTTCACTGCAGAGCAGAATTCTTTTTCATTGCAGTATTACCATTTCATATCTAAAACTTTTCATATATAGGTTATGCTGCAGTATGATTTCCTAACTAAATCAGGCCAGCTTAAGGTTATGATGTTTCAGCTTTCCATTGCTATGGAGATTCTGATACAACAGACACATTTTTCCTGTTGCATCTCTATTGTCTATTTTGCACTTTTCTATCTTCTCAGGTATCTCCATGTGTAAACTTTAGATCAAGTTTTCTTTCCCAACAAAATCTTTCACATACTCCGAACAAGTGAATCTGTCTGGTCCTTTACTATGTAACAATTCTATCTGTAGTTCTGAATTATTTAACGATTACAGAGAAAGCAGCTTTATTTTATGATTCACTCTAGTGAGGATGGACACTAAGAATCAAAATGTGCATTCTAACATACAAAACATCCCAACAATACTATTATTTGGTATTGGTAACTAGCACTTTGATTACAGTATACATGTTTTTAGCAAGCATTTTTAAAAATTAGGGTTTTTTTTTGATGGGGTACTAATTTTCAGAATTCTAGACAAAGTTAAGCAGAGCATGAAAAATTGGTTATATACGTGAAGTTCTAACAAGTGAAAAAGACTGTCCCAGGGTTTCAGCTTTACCCAATTAGTTATCTTCAAAACAAATCAGGACTTCTTGTGTCAGTTCAGCAGAGAAGAACAAACATACATCATCAAGAAATTACATACAAAAATATTACAAATACTGTGAATATTGGTCAAAGTAAATATTAAAAAAAGATATAATCAATGTGACAGACACATTCATCTTAATGTGGAGGAACAAGGAATATTGCTTTATTTGGTTTACCCAAATTTGTGTATTTAATCAAATATATTCTACAATGGATTTCAAGTGTGACTAATGACTTCAGCAGACTGCAGCAAAACCATACGATCACACACACAGTAATTTACTTCAGCCACTATGTGTAGCATACAGCTATAACTCATCCTACATGACTATGAAGGGAATATAGCCTTAAGCTACCCAATGATGCCTATACATGACAGATGCCCAAAAATCAGCAAAACAAAACTGAAATAACAGAAACTTACTTCACAAAAAAAAGTGTGGTTTTTTTTTTTTTTTTTCTCTCTTTATATAATCAAATTACTACTATTGAATGAGCCCACTCCATGGCACAAATCACCCAAGGCATGCAGGCAAGCTTTAGTACAAGAGGAAACCTTGACCTGGTTCCCTCAAAGGCCAAAGAAGCAAGTGATCCCATTCCACAAACAGCAAAACCAGTAAACCCAGGTTTTCTATGGATATAGGTCCTGAGGTTTAACTCCTATGTGGATACTGTGGTGTTTAATAAAGGCTGCCTCTTTCCTAGCAGCGGATGCATTAATCTCTCCTGATGTATAACTTTCCTCACAGAAATTAATATAAAATTAGCACCTGAGATTTCTATGCATCTCTCAAAACTGCATGACCCAAAAATGACCCATGGGAAAATTAGGAGGAGAAAAAGACAGGCAGATGATGTAATTATTTAAGGCCTTCTCACTTTGGAAACAAGGAAGTCGACTGAAAAGATTATGATTTAATGTTGCTTTAACCAAAGCTACAGAAATTGTTGTGGTGTCTTTCCTTTTGAATGCATGGACAGGTAAAACCTTCACTGACTCTGCTAAAAAGCACTTCTAAGAAGTAAACTTAGAGTCAACCAAAAATATCACTCAAGGACAGCATTCTTAACACTCAGAAGTGAGAGTGTTTGCAGGCATTAACTTGAAACCTTACTGGAAGTCACCATATCAGTACTGAAGCGATTTGGTGGAAAAATTACAATTCTCACAGAATATAAATGAATAGCTGCCAAAAAATTAGTGCTCTTATTGACTGAGACAAGGAAAAAGTAATGTTAATTTCAACATTCAGCAACAAGCACTTGTAATCTGGAGAAAACCAAAGAAATTAGCACTGGATAAACAAAACTTAAAACCTTGCCAAAGTCTCTTAAACAATAATATTAGAATTGTTTCACAATTAAAGAGGCTAATGAAAAGATGCTTTTATTTGAAACATTCTGAAAAATTACACAGGAATTTCACAAACTTTTATGACTATTCCTGAGTTGTTTTGTAATTTCATTTACAGTTTCTTGAATCCTAATCTAAAAAGAGATTTAATGGTTCTTATCCCTCTCTGGAAGACTTGACCCATTTCCCTTTCAGTTTGTTATTTTCATAATTTCATGGATTTCCTTATTTATTTCCCATTCTAAATGTGCATTTTGAAAAGAAGAGGAAACTGACAATGGATAAAAAATAAACCTTTTAAATAATTTCTGTGATTTTGGTTTGTCTAGCATGCATTCTGATATGCAAGTTTTCTCAATGACTTTTTTTTTTCTCCTTAATTTAAGCATCCAGCATAAATCAACAGTTCCACCTTAGTTCTCACAAGTAAATGGTTAAATAGTCTTTAGAGCAAATTTGAGATTAACAACAAATTTAGGAATTTGAAGACAAAATCCCCCAGGTGCAAAAAAGTATATAAATAATTCATACAGATAATTCACAAGTTCTTGGCATCATATCAGCATTACATGCTTGGAGTCTTGGAATTCCAAGCATAACAGAATGCCTCACAAATAAAAAATATTTGGCACATATACATTACTGTAACTTATCCATATCTGTTCCTCCAATCCTGTATTTGATATGAGGCTTTGAATGAACATTTAAAATCTCACAAACTACGTATATTGGTATGTATGCTATAAAACTGCAACTGCAAAATTTTACATGCTTCTGTAACAAAGGCATCGTTATAATTGTAATTTTTATACATCAACGAACAGGGAAGTACATTGTTTTTCTCTGCCAAGGGAAATGACAACAAAGCAAGCACAAGGGTGGCTAGTACTCATAACAACACTCATAAATAAAGGAAATTATGTGCACTGTTATTCCTAAGGTACTTTTCCTTCTTTTGTTTACCATCCTGTACAGTTCCGTTCATTAAACAACAGGAAGAGTGGGAAAGGCTAAAGCAGTCAGCATCATCGCTGCTGCAGCATTAGTGTTCACAAAGATTAGAAAACAGTCTGAAGTGAGAAAACCTCTAAACAGTTTATCTCCTTGAATACATGCAGTGAATTGCAAAGAATGTGACAGAAAGATATTCAACAGCTACACTTAAAATTATTCCCAAAAATCTAACGTTGCAAAACATACTTAGATTTTCAAAATTAGCAGCTCATAAACAATGCAAGATAACCATCCAATTTCTGCGTGACAAATGGAGACAGACATTTAAATAGTATTAAAATAATGCTCTCTGTATGAAATACACGTCAGAACCACTACTGTTAATTGAGAAGACAATCACTTACAACAAACAATTAAAGCAATCCCAAACTCTCTTGTCAATTTAAATGATCCTTATATGAAAAGCAAATTACCTCCATTGAGATTCGTCTGTGTATCCGGTTTCTGAGACAAACACCTGTGGGAGACTGAACTTCATCAGATGATGTTCCAGAAGCTTGGTCACTTTCACCATCTGACCCCATTTTCAGATTTTCATGAACAATATCTTAAAAATAATCCAGAGAATTTAAAACAGTTACTCAGTATTCCATCAAACACCTCTCTTGTACAGATGGAAAACAACTGTATTGTTACTGCATATTGGGTTATATGGGAGAGTCAAAAACTCACCATTCATTTTAGTCTTGATACACTTTTTATGGCTCAGGAAACACAAAATGACTAGGATTACAGGACTTTTACACAAACTTTATTGTTATTTTTCTTATTTGGCTTTCGGCACTACTCAATTTTTCAAAACAAAAGACAGACAGTCCAATGCCAATTTTAATTCTCATAAGCTACCCACCTTGTCAGTTCCCGAACTCCCTACCTACCTCTTTGTCTAGCTGCACTTGGATACAAAACATTACTGAGAATATTTAATATTTCCAAATCAGATGACCTGACTTTAGAAATCTAAATATATCTTCAGCTTAAAAAGACCTGAGAGGTATAGTTTGGTGGTGTTTTTTTGTTTGTTTTGTTTTGTTTTCTTTCTTTTTTTTTTTTTCTTTTTTCCAGAAATGCCAAATAAGGAAACTTCAGCCATAAAACCCACTAGTGTGCATGTATGGAGCAAGGGGATGTATTCTGACCATCTAAACAGAGGCCTACAATGTGCAAGTGGATTCAGCAAAGAAACTTATATTTGGGGTAATTAAGTAAAATCTGTGAGCTTATGGAGGAATTCAGGTAACCCACTGAGTTACATGACTTTTCAGAAATCTTCAATAGAAATTGGTACTCTTAACACAATCCTGTAGATTCATCTACACAAAAGACTTTATGTGTGTCAGGTATATACATATACATTTAAGCACCACAGGATCTTCCATAATTTGGAAGACAAGCACCGTAATGGATGAAGAGAAGATCAAGGTGGTGTCGTTAAAGACATGAAGAGCCAAATGACTTGCAAAAGGACACACAATGGGAAATAGGTCATACAAAATATTCACTGTGACTAATGCTCCATCATCACCTCTGAAATGCTTGATATATACTATAGAGATTAAACACATATACATATAAAGGAGGTGCTTCAAAAGACACCAGTTTTCCTGTCTCTTCTGATCCTTGGTATTAAGCATTATCTTGCACAAGGTAGAAGAGAACCTGAGGAACAGCTAGAAATCTTACAACTCTACGCCTAAAAAAATGGTATATTAGCAAAACACACAAAGCTCCATTCAGCCTTACCACCAACATACCTGAAAATATTCTAACATTTGCACTGTATTACAACAATTTTAAAAAAGGGAGAAAATGCAAATTTTATCACTATAAACAAGCAAGCAAGCAAGCAGGTTTTTCTAGGAAAAGCAGCCTTTAGGCAAATGTTTGGTTATCAGCACATCTTCTAAAACGTTTGTCTAGTTTGGCTCCCCTAGAATCACGTAGACTTCAAAGGATCAAATTCTTCCTCAGTACAAAGAAATTCCTTTTACAGAAAACAGAATGGATATAAAAGGATGAACTCATAAGGTATTGGCACCATGTATTTTAACTCTAAATATTGTAATTAAGCATGCAAACTAGGCATGCATCTGATGCACAAAGCAGATTTTCCAGCAGCACTGTGGATCTAAATTGGATTTCTATTAAAAGTCGACACTGCATCAGAATTTTGCCTGCAAGTTATGATCAGATTTGGACTGAATGAGAAAAACATCAGCTGTACTCCTTGCATAATAACAAGGAACCTTTTGGTTTCAAATAAGGTAAATATTCATCAGTGCCTCTAAAGGTATGGTAGTTTGAACCAGAGGAAAAGATTGTCAGAAAGTGGTCCCTAAAGATACGTCTTAACCTGAAGCTAAACAGATAAAATGTGACTCTTTTTTTGCCAAGTCTCTAAGAAATCTCTCTTATTCTGTATGGTGACTTGATAGCTGTCTCTTTAAAAATCTCTAACAAACTGTAGGCAATTACTTTTAGGCATATAAAAACACTATTGAAAACACTGTTTGCATTAAAGCTGTTATCCCAGCATTGTTGCATCTGGTAAACAGCCACACTTATTATACCAGTTCTTTAATAAGGATTCTCCTTTAAAATACTTTCATGAGAGGCCATACAACCCATTTTAGCAATTACAGCTCTCAAGATTCATTTTTTAAGTTTAGTGGAACAGCTACTGACAGCTGTTCTCCAATCTGCTTCCCTCATGCTAGTACAAGCCCACTGATTTGGCCCCGAAGTCTATCTTCTTTAGAGAACCTAGACAGGAGATGGTTATCTGGGCAACCTCACAAAATAAGACTGATGAAATTTAAAAAGTCCTGTATTTTAAATGAAGGACCAATTACTTTATTTCTTTTTAAAAAAGACTGACACTTGTTAAAATGATCATGTGAGTGACACTGTCATATTTTTTATTTTAAAATATAACGTTCATTACACAAAAGTGTACATATGATATTGCTATTAAAAAAATGACACTTTGAAATGCAACACTCAGAATTACAATATTTGCCAGAGATAATTCTCCTACTAAGATGACCACTTACACAATAATAAACTAAGGCCCATTTCAAGAACTATTAACACAAACCCATGCATTTAGGTCAGAAAATGCAAGGAGCTTCTGCACTTATAAATCACAAATGCAAAGACAAAGTGGGTCTGTATCACTTAAGTCTAAAAATGCAGTATGTCACACTTAAATAAGATCACGGTCAGTCTATTTTGAATACTTCTGTGATATGATTCATTCCGATAAGTCTGAATAAGCTACATACCCATAACCAAAGGGTTTTAAGCAGGATACTGGCTGCAGCATCCAAAAATCATTAAGCACATGTCTGAATTTCTGATGGGCTGAATACTCAACTCCTATCTCTCTCTAAGGACATGCAGACGTTTTAATTATATTCTAAACAGAGATACTTTTAAGCTTTTAAAAAATATCTTGACTGCATTATCATCTAATATAAGCATGTCTTTTCATTTTATTCAATTAAAAAGGTGTTAGTAGAGCCTTATGTTCATTATTTTAATATCATAAACCCAGGACTAAGGCATTAACCTAGTCATATTAATAATTTTACACAGGCGCATGACAATAATATTTGATTAAGCAATGATGAAAATCATGCAAATAATATTTCTGTAATTTCACTAAGCATTTCTACAGGCAAATTCACCTGCACCAAAGCCAGCTTTCATGGTTTTAATGGTTCAATAGTTCAACAAATCATTCTTACACAGATGCTTATTTAAAATTCTCTACATATGTAACTAAATATCCAGTATGGCCATGTAATGGAAAGCTGCAGATGACCACAATGTAACAGGAAAAGTATGTCAGTACATTTAAAAGAAAAGGCCATCCTCATTTCAGCTGTGAGGAAAGCATTACTGGAGAAAGTAATGCACGGAATCTACAGTGCAGCAAATGAGAACTCCTCCAAGTGAGCTAAAATAATATTCACTAACCAGTCAGCAGTAAGACTGAATGATTGTTTAATCTTATTTCAAATTATTACAAAAATAACCATGTGACTTGCATATTGGACTCTTTCCAAGGTGCGCCCATTCCAAAGCTTACTTTTCTATGAAGTGGCTACATTTTATGATTAGTTTCACTAACATGATTCATTTTATGTTAGTTTCACTAACAATGATTCATATTGAGGAAGGCCATAGTGAGAAGCTGCCTTTGCTCTTAACATTACAAAGCTATGAAAGTTGTAGAGAAATATAATTTCTTTCAATTCCAACATTTATGACAACAAACAAAACCTTCATAACTATATCAACACAACCGGCAAAAGCAGGAATCAACTCTCCCCTGGCTCCTGCTGAGGTCCACCAAAATGGGGAGCTTCAGCTGGCTTTGCTCATTCCAAGCACCTCTTCAGTGTTCCCAGTAATACAAATATGGAACAAAGACAACTAAGTTGTTCTGCATTCAGCCAGGTCAGGTCCAAATAGGGACCATCTCTGTCTCCATCATGGACTCCAGCACTTAAATGTTTCCAGCGTGCAAGACTTGAGAAGCTGTATTGATAATACATGAGCTAAAAAATACCAACTCAGGTAGACTTTAACTTGCATCAGCAGCATGGCCAATTCCTAATTTGGTGTGAGAACCACTTATGTTATTTAAAACCATCATAATCAAAAATGATTAAAGGGCTGGAGCACCTCTCCCACGAGGACAGGCTGAGGGAGTTGGGGCTGTTCAGCCTAGAGAAGAGGAGGCTCCTGGGGGACCTTATAGTGACCTTCCAGGACCTGAAAGGGGCCTACAAGAAAACAGGGGAGGGTCTTGTAATGATAGGACAAGGGGTAATGGGTTTAAGCTAAAAAAGGGTAGATTTAGGTTAGACACTAGGAAAAAGTTCTTTAACATGAGGGTGATAGACCACTGGAATAGGTTGCCCAGACAGGTGGTGGAGGCCTCATCCCTGGAGACATTCAAGGTCAGGCTGGATGAGGCTCTGAGCAGCTTGACCTAGTTAGAGATGTCCCTGCTTATAGCAGGAGGGTTGGACTAGATGACCTTTAGAGGTCCCTTCCAACTCAAACATGCTATGATTCTATGATTCATACCTGAATAATAAATAAAAAGTACAAAATTTTAAACCAAGCCACACTTTTAAGAGATCAGGATTTTTGTCTTTACAAAACATTTTACAAAATCTAAAGCTAACAGAGATGTTTCCAAGTAGAAATAAATTTTAAAATATTTTGGGATTTTACACATTACTGCAACAGGAACTCATGTTCAGTGCTCAAAAAGCAAGCAAAAATCCCAAACTCTCCTGGGCTTCTCAACTAATTTTTATACTGATAAACTCACTTAAAAGCAATCAGCACGAAGATGCATCTGTGGCAGGTCTCATTTTAAGCTGTTTTTTAACCAAATAACTATCCTTTAACAGCAATCATTTTGTGATATTTCAAGGATATCTTGCTAACAGCATTTTCTTACCACTGGAATACAGGGGAAAGTAGAAAGAAAAGAGGATTAATGAAGAAAGCAAAAAAAAAAAAAAAAAATTAAAAGTCTCATATAGTCTAGCATTAATTTCTGGAGTCATTATCCCAATGGAGAAAGTCTCAGAACCCTGCCAAGTAATAACCATTCTCACATGGCAGGAACAAAAGGAGGAAGGATGTGAAGAAACAGAAAGACCATCAGTAATTATGCTTATATATGCTTCTATTTGTGGTATTTACCACTAGATAACATGTAGAAGTAGCTTAAATAAGAAGTAAAAAAAAAAAACAACAACAACAAACAAAAATGGCATCATTAATAGCATCACTGCATCCAAAGCAGAAGTAAGTGTTTAACATACACATACACAGACCCTGTAAATCTATTCCATACTACTTGAACAATTAAAATTCTACAGGAATCTGTAACTATTTAAAAATGTGTTACTGTAACACTTCCTATGGACAAATATATTAAAATTGTGCTATTTACACAAATTTAAACATTTGATCACCTGAGAAAAGACTAATGGCATTCTTCTGCCATACTTATATATTAATACTCTTTTCAGAGAAAAAAATGAAAGCGCTTTAAGAAACCTGGAAAATCATTAAAAGAAACCAAAACAGTTTATGAGTTTTCCTTTTGCAAAGTCGATTTAAACTTCACAATGAAATTTTGAAGAGGAGTAAGTTATTGGTAAATTTACATTTTAAAATGCTATAGAATGTTTATAAAGGCAACACACAAGAACAAGAGTACAGAATTACACATCTCTGCTGTTCATGCACACTATTATATACATCTGATTTGACAACAAAAATCCATAAATCTCTGATTAGGGCTATTTAGTCTTTTAAGTACACTTTAAAAAAAAAAACCAAAACAAACAAAAAAAACCCCACACCAACACCTCTGTCTTCCTTTTAGATTCTTGGCAACTTAAGCAAAGCTTGGCTAGGCAAAAAAGAAAGAAAAAAAATTAAGTGTACAGGACCTGAGTGAAATCAGGACCTGATATAGCAGTCAATTGGTGCACACTAAAACCCGTTTGCTTCTGTGATAGTAACAACTGCTAAAGTCCATTCTAGAGAATATAATTATTTTTTCAGTTTGAGTGGTAGCACAAACAGTAAAAAGCCAAGGTTCTGAACATGATGAGTGATATTGTAGTAGAGGACGTAAGTGCTTTGACTACTGTCTAAGACTCATCTTAATCTTGAAGGAGATCAATTTATCACAGATTTCTGAAGGAAGGCAGAAGACTGAAAAATTCATAAAATTCTAATTAAAATGTGACTTGCTCTCATTTTCTAGTATCAATTAGGCATAATTTAAAATAACGTAAAAGCAGGGTGAAACATTAATGGTGACTGGAGGCAGCAACAAGACAAATTACTTGAAGGAGAAGAAAAAAAATTTCATAACTTATTTGCCCCACAGAATCACCAATATATCTTGGGACCACAACAAAAAGATAATTATAGTTGAGTGACCTTAATTTGTCACCAAATTTTTTTTTTCTTCTTAAAATGAAATGTCTAAGTAATACAAGAGTTCTTTTGAAATTCCAGATACAGGATGATTATCCTGTTTTTACCATATTCAATATAATGTAGTTCTCACCAATGCTTAACTGAGATGGACACACAGGTTTCTTGCCAAGTATTAAAAAATAATATTTTGCTTCTTTGAAACTTGTCAAAAATCCTGGGTGACTTGTGTGTGTTCTTTTAATCGCTTTCTCTCTGAAAATCTTATAGAGACATTCAATACCTGAAAGACCAAGTTTCTCTAACAACTCCAAAAAAGATTACTGCATTCCCAGAGACTTGAATAACTGTATCCCCTGCGAAAAATAAATACCGACATTATTCTTCATAGAAAACTGAACTTAAACAACATAGTGAATTACCTAATCTGCTCCCATTTCTGGGCATTGCCATGAAAGAGCCGAGGCTGCCCCCTATGACGCTATGTGGTCTCCGCAAAGGGGGCTTCTTGAAAGATCCTGTGTATTGGTGGAGAAACGAGTGCATGCTGTGAGACGTTGGAGGCCTGCCATTCTTCACAATAGGCTCTACAATTCACAAGGATCAAAATATTCATTCCCACAGGCAAGAAGAGTGTCAGGAACATGCCAGAAGAAGAAAAAGAAAAAAAGAAAAAAAACAGTTACTAGACAGGAAATCACCACTCTGGTAAGATCTCTTTTATACTAACAGTAGACCATCATACTACTGCCATTTCTCTATTACCATATTAATACAAAACATGGCATCAAGTATCACCCAAATTTCCTTTTATTAAATTCTGTCACTCTGCTGCTGGATCAGTAAATGACCTGAATACACAGTCTAAAAATACAAATAAAACCAGAACACAGTTTTTAATATCAATATAATTGTTGTCTTGTGAACTCATGGTTTCTCTTATTGCACAGTGTTTCATCTTTACTGTAATTTAAACAGATCAGCTGTTACATCAATTCACATGATGAGCAAATTCAACCGCAAGCCTTTGGAAATATTCTCCACCTCAGAGTTTATGAGGGTCAGTAGTAGCAATGCCTCGCTACTGGAAGTCCTTGCAAGGAAACGTAGCCATCTATACCCATCAGAGCTGTCATACCATGATTGAGGGTACCACCGTAACGGGTAACAGAATAGTTAAAGTATTCAGTGAGTTAATTTGGCTTTCTGTTGGACTGCATCTCAAACTGTTCACTGTATTTAAACTTAAAACCAGGACTGTAAGATTAAAAAAACTATTGAGAAATATTTTCTAGAAAATATAAACATGACAAATTTTAAAATCATATATACATATATGCACAGAAGTTAAGTGTGTTCTGTCAGCAACTTGATTCTGCACATGTGGGCAAGCACTCAAGGTTTGTCGTGGTACTAGAAGCAGTTTAACTATAAAAGCAGAGGATTTTTTAACCTCCACAAGAAGTAGAATAGATGTCAGCTTGTACCGATTGTCACAAAACTTATCAGAAACAGTGATGAAGTCATTCACACAAGAAATTAAATTAAAAATACTCTACAGAAGAAGTACTCAGAGGTCAGCATCACCTAGCAGCTACATACAAGCACTGTCTCTGTACTACGAAAAAGACCAAAAGATCTGTCCAAACAACACTTCAGATCAAGTAATTTTATTTTTCCATCATTTGATTCTTATTACCATTACAGGTATGTGTTGTTTGGTATTATTTGGCAGACAGAAAAAGGCAGCAGCCATGCATGGAACACCTGGAGCACAAATGTTACTGAACGGAGTGGGCACCTCATGAGGCAATTTCTGCAGCCACTGCTCCCAGGGAGTAACACAGCTGGGGATCTGCCCAGAGCTCCACTCATACCTACTGCGACAGGGAACAGTCTGGGATGCCAGTTCATTATCCTGTCTTATATCTCCCCACACAGAGACCCCAAAATCTTGATTTCCCTTAAAAAATAATAATAAGAAGAAAAGCTAGGAGAACTTATTTTATGAAAAGCAGAATTTCAGTGGTGACGGAACATAACAGCAACAAATGCTTGATAACCTAAAGAAAACAGGTTCCTGAAGGGAACTCCCTCCCTCCCCATGTGTACAAAAACCTTTTGGATATATGACTATGATTGGTTTGAAGCAAAGAGACAGAAATACAGACAGAACTACCCAAGCGACTTTAAAAAATAACTATGCAGGTAATTTTTGCATATAAACACCAATTATATAATAAGACAAAAAAAATCACTTTAACTTAGCTGGTGTGGTTAAAAAATAAAAAAGAAATGCTTCAGGTAGAAAACAATGTGACAGGACACATCAGCATTATTACAAATCTGCCTACATCTTTCAATTTAGCATCCTTCATAAACACAGATTCAAATTAAACATGAGGAAAAATACACCATGCGTCCCTGTGTATATTTGTGAAGGACAATCAGTATCTTCACCTTCAAAACTGCACACCTCTGCCCCAAATCCTTACTTCTGTTCCTAACACACTGTATCATCCCTTTTGATAAGAGTGGTATCAGCCTCCTTGTGGGCCTTCAACAGCAGATTTATCCTAGGACAGCAGGCAACAAATACCTCATCAAGTTTTGAACAGAATCTACTACTACTTCCACATAGCAGGAAACAGGTTGATATGCAGCACAGCTACTGCTTTTGCTATTTAAAGATTAAAATCCGCCTTTTGCTTTCCAACTTTCTTTCTAAACTTTGATTTTAATTTGATTTAGTTTCTAGACTAAAAACCTCACACTGTGTTTATACACAGAGCTAAACAAATGAATAACATCAAAAATACAAATACCAGATGTGTACATAGTTTGTTCTCTTGAGACAGTGATCCCTGGTTGTAACTATGGTGCTTGGGTAGCTAGTTCACATAATTTCAACGTTACTACTTCATCTAGATTCTTTATATAAGCAATAAATAACATATATTAACCATGTAGTTCTACTTAATTTTAATTGTTTCTAAAATTAAGTTTTTATGAGAACAGGGAGCAAACTCAAAGAGGTTTTTTTTCGGGGAAATAAAAATCTCCTCCCTTTGACCAAGTCCTGTTATACCAAGCAAAGGAGAAGTCCCTCAGTTTTTTTGTTATGTTTTGCAAACCTAATAATAAAACTAGGAAGAAAGTTCTAAGGTTTGGGTTTTTTTGCTAATACGGAAATGCACTGCAAAAAGGTCACTTATTTTTTAGCTGCCACTACTGTCAATAGCCTTACACTTCAGAGGGTAACTTAAGCCCTGAGCAAAGTACTGAGACAGACTGGTGCTTCATAACTGAAAATGCAGCTCTCATGGTAAGATTATTGTGCAGCATACAAATGCCAATCAAAGTAAACATTACTTTCCTTATCCTAATGAGAAATTGAAGATGACAGGATACATCTCAGTAAAGGTCAGAGAAGCACCAAAGGCAGCACAGGAAAGGAGCAGGGCAAAACTCTGCCCACAGGAGTGACAGTCCCCACCTCAGCCATCCTGGCCACCCTACTCACCTCCGTACATTCACAGCGACTGAGGATTCCAGCACCACTAACCATACGGAAGTGTATGCACACATCTGGACTACAGCTGCATTCACAGTGCACAGAGCTGATAATTTTCACTGCATGCTATAGCTTTTGTCTCCTTATGCTACAATTAGGCTATCTCCAGAACCGTGTAGTGTGTAAAAAAGGCCAGAGCTTACGAATACACTGAGGGACTAAGGACAGACTGAGTTTTATGTCCATTACTAAAACAACAGTGTGATGAACAGAGATAATTGTTTAAAAAAAAAAATCTGTTTTCCTCATGGCACTGGTGTATCTGCACGTATTTTACAGTTTAAAATAAAATTGCTAAAATATCCTAACATGTGAAAAGTTCATCTCAAATACAAACACTGATCACATGAATAAGCAAACAGCAAATTTCTATAAAGATGAAAGACAAATAGTTGACATAATAAGATTCAACTATACATAAATAACTTCTGCCATCATAGGCAACTATTACCTTCCTGCGCTGTCATAAGTATCGTTCTAAATCATGAAGCCCATTATAAAATTTAGGAGCAATAGTTTGGGTCATTTAGTAGGACAGGCATAACTACCAACAGATAATGAAATGAAGGTTACAAAACCTCTCAGATTACTAGTATACTTCTGACTAAAGTATGTATTAATAGTACTTGCCTACAATGTTTTTTAAAATCCTAGTGCATATTAATTTACAAAAAGGAGGGAACATACAGTATCTTATGATGGTATAACTCATAGACATGGTTGTGTAGAGTATTTCTGTCATATACAGTTAAGTCTGCACTGTCGTATGTTAGAAATTTTAAAGAAACTTTCACAGGAATTCTGCATTGTATGCTGCCTCCTCCCTGCAAATGACAGTAACAGCCAAGAGCTCGAACAAATACTGAAAATGATCACACAAACTCTTGCCAGAAATTAATTTACAAAAGAGTTTGTTATTATTTTTGTGCATTTATGAGATACAAGATTTAACAAAAATGCTTAAGACCCCTAAGTACTTCTTCCAGAGTTAAAATTTCACTTGTTTAAAGAACTAATTTTTTTTTCCCCCAGGATTATTAATATGCTGAATCACCGCCTTTAAAGGGTACCACTGAAGTTTTTAAGATGTGAATTTAGTGCAACTGCTCGGTCTTGAATAAGAGGAAACAAAACTGTAAAAGTTAAATGCCTTTACTATATGCATGTATAACCTGCTTCTTAAATTTTATCTCTATGATTATGGGTTTGGTTTGTCTTTAAAAAGAAAAGTTTCCTCATCTAAAACTCACAAACATTCCTTACACTAGTGTCATTGTACTTGGCAAATTTAACTGGTAACCACCGAAAGGCTTAGCTAACACGATGGAGGTGTTTCCAGTAACACAATAGGTATTTTCATGGTGGTATTGGTTTAATATTCAGCCACAGCCAACATGAGTGACAGAAACTAAGAGGAAAGCAGAAAACCACCAGACTTGGAGGAAGGCTAAAGAGGGCACCTAGGAACTGGCGGTATTGACCACCTCCTCCAGCACAAGAGTGAGGGTCACTGCAAAAGCATAGAGCATACAGAAGTGGTTCTTCACACCATGCAGTCTGTGGAAACTCTTCACCACAGGATGTTACAACTACCAGAAGCTCACAAGACACAAAGGGAGACTGAACAAAGGATCTGCTCAGGTTTACTAACTGCACAGAGACTTGCCTAGTTCAGGAAGTCTCTGAACTAGAAACCAGCACAGTACCCTGGGGAAATGGTGTTATATTTTGGGCTCTAATCTTAGACTTGCCCTCAAAAGTCATCCGCAGAGACTTGAGGACAGACAGAACTCCAGCCATTCTTACAGGACAACACTTCTGCAGGACCTGGGCAGTTGGCTCACGCTGGGTCATGCTGGCACAACCATTCCAGTAAGGCCTTATTAAATTATTTATCTCTAGCTCTCTTTCCTCACCCTGCTCTATAATCTGTAATTCCAAACTGATAAAATTTACGGAATGTGAGCAGAGAGACTTTCCAGTGGTTCTTTTTTAATTGTATTTGGTTAGTTG